TGGCGAATGTAAGCGCGCGGTGAGGTGACCGGCCTAGCGGCCCCGCTCGAGGCGGTGTTCGGCGAGGAATAGAATGGCGGTGCGGGGCGAGGAGTAGGGAGGCGAGGCGCGCCGCTGCCCGTCCGCCGCTTACGCGACCGCTCGCACGTCTCCCCGCGCGGGGCCGCTAGGCCGGTCACCTCACCGCGCGCTTACATTCGCCAGTAGGTTGGGCTAATACGGCGATTTTTAAAATTTCGTATCTCGATAACTATTCGCCCAAGCGCAAAATAGTACAATACTTTTCTGTTTGTCTTAGTCCCCTCTACCTTCCCATGACCGGACGTCAAAGTCTTGCGTAGCACCCTGTATATACTATATATAAAATACTAGTATTATTTTATAAAATTTACATGAATTATTGTATAAATGAAATTTATTATTCACCACAATTTATTTTGGTCATTATATCTGATATTTCGGTCCAAGCATTTTGTTTCATCACGGAGTCCTTAAACCCTATATTACTTTTATCGTATAAAAATGGACGCTCTCTATAGAGTTCGATAAGTAGGTCATCGCCACTCTTTTCTTCAATATTAACAGATTCACAATCATCAGATTCATTAGTATAATACAAGTCACTTGTGCTGATTTCATCAGGTACGTTAACAACAGTATTGCAATAATTAAAATGATCAGACATTTTCTTGCAATACTCTTAGTAACTCCTGAAAAATAAATTTATATTATAAGAACGTTTTCTCGAGCAATGTATTTTGAAACTAGTAAAGAAAAATTGGTTGACCTAATACAAGAATTATTTTCTTTAGTACTCACTTCTCGGTCGTATGGTGTGTCAGGTCAGAAAGATCGGCCGGCAAGCACAATGGGAAGGCCCGTAAATCGCCTGCTCCTCCAATTGTAACGCGAATTGTTCCTTGAGTTTCTGTAAGGCGAGATTGACATATATGTTAGAAAATAGATCTCTTCGCACATACGTAGAAATAAGTAAAATAATTATAATAGATTATAATCTCACTTTACTAAATTAGCAATATAATAGCATTTAACTCTGAAAAAAGGGAATTCGTCAAATATCTTATATTTACAAATTTCTGTAGACGCGTCTGAAACGTGGACCGATGATACTTTACAATATTGTGGACTAACCTTGTGGCTACTTTGTACTCAGCTTTGAATTATAAGCTGTGTACAAAGCTGATTTATAAACATGCTGTATTTCGTACCAGCATCATTTTTAGGTTTACCAATGATTCTTTACTATTTCAAAGTACACTGCGTTAAAAATATTTTTAAAATAACATCTTTAAAAATGTTTTTTAACGTAATGTACTTTGAAATAGGAAATAAAAGTTGGTTAACCTAACCTAAACTCACAAATCTTTAGATTATTCGGTAAAGAAGACGAGGACAAATAAATTTTGCCTTAAAAAGCTATTTTCTTTTCTTTTAATACAATTATAGACTTGCGTGTGTGTGTGTGTGTGTGCGTGTGCGTGTGCGTGTGCGTGTGCGTGTGCGTGTACGTGTGCGTGTGCGTGTGCGTGTGCGTGTGCGTGTGCGTGTGCGTGTGCGTGTGCGTGTGCGTGTGTGTGTGTGTGTGTGTGTGTGTGTGTGTGTGATATATATTTATAAGATAAATATTACTCACCTCGCTCGCCGAGACGTACGTTACTTTTCACCATTTTCCATATACCAACCGTAACTTTCCTTACGGCTTACGTTTTTCTCTGCCTTACCTTAAGTTTACGGCTTACGGAAGTCCGTAAGCGCTTACGGATGGTTGTCTGCCATCAGCCTAAGTCTCAAAGTTCATCAGATCGAGCTCGTAATCGTCGTCGCTCAGGTCTATGGCTGGAAAATAGTTTACAGCGAGCATGCTGCTCTTTCCCGTCAGCGTGAGTGTTAGCGACATGGTGGATGAAAAGCCGTTCAGCGAATACTGACTCCTCGCGACGGTACAACCGATAACATTTCATACAATCATTGGAGCGGATTGATGAGAAGTTACATGCATCATAACGCTCTCTGTCGCGCTGCTACGGATTTCGATGCAAGATCATGCAAGATTCGTCGTGTAGCGCAACCTGAGGCTGATACCGACGCTGTAAACAAACTGTACGTGGAACAGTGCGTTGTAACGTTGAGGAAAGAGTCTGACGAGAAGCTGATTGCGTTGGAGAAGAATTTGTAAGCTTTACAGATCGCTATAAACGAGCTCTGGCACTGGCATGCAAATATCACTAGATTAGAAACGGTTAACGAGCGGCTATCGGATAAAGATGAACTACAAAAACGGATATGAATGGCTATTGGATGACGACTGCAATCAGAAATAAACGGGTAGGGGACACAGGTCTGTATTTCTGAAACAGGTCTGTATTTCAGAAACAGGTGTGTATTTCGGAAACAGGTCTGTAATTTGGAAACAGATCTGTATTTCGGAAACCGGTCTGTATTCGGAGCTGTTAGAAAACATATATCGCATGGTACCCTCTTTGCGCATATCATTACGTCAACGATTACACACTGTCGAGACATAAGACCATCAAAATCTGATGGACGTAACGGTTCCGAGAAGCGACGGCTCGTCGAGGAGCTGCATACTCCGGCGATAAGGAATTTTCCACGAAGACGCGCCATAGTTCGAGGATACGATGATTTGTGGCAAGCCGACCTCGTTGATATGTGTGCGTACTCACGTTTCAACAGAGGCTACCACTACATGCTTACAGTCTGAGCAAGCATGCTTGGGCTATGCTACTTAAGACTAAAGGTGGAAGAGAGACGGCTAATGCTATCAGTGAGATAATTCGAGAGAGCGAAAGATGCCCGAAAAACCTGCAAACTGATATGGGGAAAGAATTTTACAACGGCGACGTGCAACGACTTTTGAAGAAACACAACATCCATCTCTATTTCACGTATTCCGTATTGAAAGCGTCGGTCATCGATCGGTTCAATCGCACATTGAAGAACGCCATGTGGAAGATGTTTACACTCAATGGAAGTTACAAGTGGATAGATTTATTACCGCGACTCATTGCAGAGTACAACGCATGCAAGCACAGGACCATCGGCATGCGACCCGTCGACGTTACCCCTGCGGTTGCTAACAGGCTTCTGAAAACGGTGTACAGCCACGTAAAAATCGTTGGTCCGGCAAAGTTCAAAGTGGGTGACGCGATACGCGTTAGCAGATACAAGACGGTGTTTCAGAAGGGTTATACACCAAATTGGACCACCGAGGTGTTTAAAATCGTTACAGTACAGCGCACCAATCCCGTAACGTATCTACTCGAGGATTACCGTGGAGAACCCGTCGCTGGAGCATTCTACGAGTACGAGTTGCATCGCGCGACTTATCCGGATGTGTATCTCGTCGAAAAAGTGCTGCGCAGGAAGGGTGACAAGGTTTATGTGAAATGGTTGGGATTCGCTGGATCGCATAATTCGTGGATAGACAAGAACAATATGCTTTAATTTTTAAAGAATGTATTTATTCTATTAAACATGTATAAGAATATATTAAAGGCATATATACATATACAGATGCATCTTTTATTTTACATGTGAATAAACATATACTTGTAATAATTACTATTCTATAATGTACAATAATACTGTGAATATTATTTTAAAAAACCGTCAGCCGGGATTGGCTGACTCCCCTCCCTCTGACCTCCCTCCGTCAGCCGGAATTGGCTGACTCCCCTCCCTCTGACCACGCCCCCCCTGACTACCCCCTCCCTTCCCCCCAAGAACGAGTATAAAAGGACGAGCGCAACGCGAGAGAGCTCAGTATCAGAGTCTCCCAGCCCTGATGAAGCAGACGGCAACGCCTGCGAAACATCGGCACCACACTGCAAACGGACGCGGCAACCATCCGGAAGCCATGAAGACTAAAGAAGACAACAGCCGCGAAAGCCTGAAAGCCAAGAATACTGTGAATATATTTATTATAGAGGTATCTGGTAATGTTCCCATGGTAATGTGTCGGTCGAGTCAGGCATGACGTATCGTTTGTCGTCGTATGGACTCAGAGCGATTTTCGTCTCAGATATAGTGTACACTTGGTGCAGCTTCGATCGTATACACGACTGCTGACACGTCATCTCGATCTCGTCTCGCAGATAATGTGTGTAACCATCAAAAGATATTGTTCGCGCTACTACATTACTTTTGACACCTTTCGCCTTCTTCGTATCCTTCTTACCATCGACTCGCAACGCATACATTTTCGCTCTGAGTCCCACGAATTCCATCATGATCGCGCAATTGTTTTCGTCCTTCATTAGACCGGGTACTTTCTTATTTACAAGCGTATGCCATACGCGTTGTCAACCGGATAATCGCTCGTGTCGAATCTGTGTATATCGCGTTTCACAGTCTCATATACATCCTCGCACTTGACGTGGTATATGAGACTGTCGGTATCAGTATACATGATTCTACACTTGTCACTGTACAGGGGCAGCATGTATTCATGGTGAAATTCATACAAGCAGATCTTGGATATGTCGAGGATGCACATACCCACGTAGATTGGCTTGTTGAATTTCACTTCGAGTTTTCGCAATTCCACGGCGATTAAATTTTCTGAAAAGATGCTGCGACTATGAAAATTTGGTTTCGAAATCATCGCCTCCGCATCGTAACGACCACCCCACTTTGTTAGGAGTTTAACGTCGACACGATTCCGCACATTTTCCATTGTTTTGCCAAATACCGCGTTGTTCATTAATTTGTATAAATTTTTGGTAAAAGTGCCGAATAGGGGACCCAGCTCCTACGACCTTGACCTTCAAGGTCAAGGTCAAGGTCACCCTCCCGAGTGACCCTCAGAAGGTTTTAGCCGTCGCTCGTTGCTCGTTAAAAAGTTATTAACAAAAAATGTTTAACAATGGTTTTTAATATTTAAGTTGCAGGTGCGTTTAGCACGGCGCGCTGCGCGCGCCCCACCCCCTCCCGCCCCGCCCCACCCCCTTCCCCGGTTAACTGTTCTGTAAAGCAGATAATTTTCCATCATTTGTAAGTCCATACGCACACAAGAATATTGTGCTTTACAGAAATACGCAAAC